GAAACAAGAGCAATCCTTATTTCTATTTCTTTAGGAATGAAAATATATTCTCTGTTGAACGCAAGGAGGTCAAGGCGCTCGTCAGCACCGCACCAGTTGGTAACTTCCGGTTATCCGGTTATTCAACTGTTGCTTTCACGACTATTGCCTTGCACATCAAAGTCTTGAAAATTCGATACCTAAATCCTTTGTGAATATAAATAAGAAAAATTTTCGGCGAACTTACCTCAGCGCCGATAATAAAACGGAAGTGTGATGATCGGCGAGGTAAAGGGGCGAGGGAAATGTAGAACGGGAACGCGAAGCGGAATCACGCGAGAAGGCAAGCCCAAGCTGAAAAGCTCGAGCGACGCCAAAGTTAAATATAAATGTCGCGGCAAGCGGATCCTGGACCGATGAACCAGCGGGTCGGATCAGTCTCTTCGTGGTCTTCCTCGTGGACCGAACTACGAAATAATCGAAACCGATCGATACATTGATCGCGCGCCAGTTTTCCTCCTCGATCGTCGTGTCCTGCGTTTAAGTTCAGAGGCGGAACGCGTTTTCCGATGATAACTTGAAGATTCGTGGCTTAAACGAATTTAATCAATCGAGACCGATTACCGAAGCAATTAGTGTGTCTTTGCAAAATCGACAAGGATTTCGTTAATCATCCGTGTCTGCGGCTCGGCGTCTTCTCGGTATCGTTTACTTATTTTTCAACTAGTTTTCCTGTTTAAAAATGCAAACGATTATTAGACCTTCTACGCTCTTAGACTCGATACACGCACTTTACGTTGTCGAGCTCGCTTGATGTACTGAAGTTTAGCATGAAGTCTTTCCACAAAATAGTACTAACTAAAAAAAGTGTCTAATTTTAATTTCATATTACTTTAGTTATGTATCATTACGTATTTTAACTGTAAAACATTAAGCAATGACCTGTCTGAAAATTATTCTCGATTTTTATTTTGATGAAACTCATTAATCTATCATTGGAATTAGAATCAGTTCAATAATTAATCACAAAGTAAGCTTCCATCACAAACTTTGTCAAAAACTTTACCAAACCCTCTCTACATCATCGTTTCCTCGTGCGATGCGGAGTTTAATGTTATTCCCACGAGATGCAACTCGATCGAAAGTTTCAAACGATAACTGCCCATCGAGGCTAACCGATGCGAGCAACCTGTGTCAGAAGCATCGGTTCTGAACGATGACTATTTCTGTTCGTTAATTCGGCAGTCATTTTATTTTTGGACGCAGCATCCGAGGTCCAGGATCCAGCAAAACTAACTGCCGTCTTTCACTACGTATAGAGTCTTTTGCTCCTCCTTTATAACTTTGTGTATCGACAGTAACGATGCTTTGTTCGTGTGTTTCCCATGAAGCTTTTCAATCAAAATAAGTTTGTAATCCATATAAAGTTTTATAATATACATAACGTTCTGGTTTGTTGTATTTGGTGGAATAAATTAGAACAAGTATTTGGAAACTTGCCGATAAATGAGGGCACTGCTGTTTTCTGTTCCTTTCATTTAATGGTATTCAATATCGAATATAAAATAATTTGAGAAGAAGCTTAATTCAATTTAAGTATAATGGAAAATGATCCACTCCATTTTTGAAACAGAACTGCACCTGAATTTTGCATGTATACACGACTTATCGTTGTCGAGTGGTCCGTCTTTATAAATAGACCGTCCCTCGATTCCTCTCGATGCTTTATTCAAATCGGTGGAACGAACTCGAACGCGCGGCTCGTCGAACATCTTTTCGCATTGGATTAAATTTTATCAGATACAAAATGGACATGCCGTGTCTTTGACAAAACTGGTTTGTTGCTTTTCAAAGGAACTCTGCATAGTCAATGAAGTACGTTTGAATCATTCTAAATCGGCTTCGCAGATTAATGATAAAACTACGAGTTATAACAATTATACTTTATTCCTATTAAAAGACAAATTTGTTTTACTGATACACACATAATTTATCATGATTTTTGTAACTACCAGAACTTATCAAATCTTCTTCGTTATATTCTTCGTAAA